ATATAACATTTTAGACACATTCTAGACAGTTTATCAGCTAAAAAAAGTTAATTTTGGGGTAAGTTACTCTTTAAAAAATTAGAAAAACTGAACATCCTACAGTATTTTTACATTCTTTATTTTACAGTTAAAGTAYACGGTTATCATATAAAGTCTAATGTTACAGCTAATCGGGAATCCCTTTAAACTTCATAAACAATAAGATCTTGCCAAATGTTAATCAACTAGAAAAACATAAGCATGCGTTCAGCTTTTAAATCATAATCCTTTCAATCTAATCTCTAAAAGCTAAGTATCTCTGTGGGATTCTGGGGGGATTGCATGTACARTATTTGTATCAACATCCTGAACTGAAGGAATATGTGAGTGGGATGAACACATCTAATATGTTGCCCTGACTTCAGATGRAGCTGCAGGCTGTAAAAACATCATTCCCACCACTTCTGGTCAAGTCTGAAAASATTTTTAAAAAGGGTTTTTCCACCATCGGTCACACTCTGAGCAGCAGGATCAAACAGCAGCGCAGCGTGGCAGGAGGCAGCTTTCATTCAATAACACCTCAGRACGCCAGCCGTCTGTTCTGCTTTGTGCACTGTTGCACGTCTATTCCAGGTTTTTTTTTTTCCTCCAAACTGCTGGTGTGCATAACCGTCCCGTAAATCATAAAACCCACGCACAAAGACGGCCCTGTCCTCTGCATCCCAGCAGGGCAGCCACACCCAAACCGTGATCTCATCGCTTTAAGCCCGTCTCGCCTGAGCATCCCTGGAGGACGGGGGCCGCTCCGGCGGGAGGGAGGCATCCTCATTAGCTGAATCAATCCCGTAGCATCCTCTCCGCCACAACACTTTGTCACTCGGCTGGTTGAGCTACCAATAGGTAGTGGCAGTGGCCCCCCCCATGCCGGGGACAGGAATCGACCTCGCTGAACGTGAAATCAATCGAAACTCGTGCTCCGGCGACTGACACCGAAAACAGGGGGTAACGAGTAACTGCACACGTTTGAAACCTGCATCAGACGCCTGCAGCAGAAAAAAACAAAATGAATGAATTTTTCAGAGGCTCAATACGAAATCTGAGAAAATAAACGCGAGCAAGAACCGAATCACAAACAAGACGTTGCTTTAATGTATTATATTTTCAGTCCATTGCTAAGAAACAAAACTCAAAGATTTCTACAAAGGCTTTATAAATCATGGCATATCCAACATTAAGGTTGTCAACATGAATTATTAMAGCTTTGATTTTTCCCATAAAAATTAGACTTAAATGAAGACTTTTGTTCTTTTTATCACAAGTACAGGCAGAAAACCCATTTTAACAGGCATGGCAAATATTATCTGACAACTAGAATAATTGCATTTTCTGCAAAAACGCAGTGCAAGTGCTTTGATTTTTGGTGAATAGCTAAAAAGCTTAAACTAAATACAGCTATGAAACAAGTAGCTGAAATAGCTGAAACAGAAAGAGCATGTCTGATGGCTGAAATCAGCAGTAAGAAGCTGAAATTATCACAAAAGGWGTATTTAGCTGAAAAAATGTCAAATTAGCTAAAAAAGTAGCTAAAAACACAAAAACMGCTGATATACAGAAAGCTGAAATTATCAGAATGGCATAAAAGGTCAAAATGATAGTTAAAAAAAGCTAAAATCAGCTAAATAGAAGCTGAAATTAGCCTAAAAGAGTTTAAAAAGCAGAAACAAAATGTAAAAAGTGCAATATGGATTTATAAACACTTTGAAGAGTTTTAAAGGTGTTGAAGACAGCTCTATTCGTTTTTGATGAGAAAAAAATGGCAGAAAATCTAAATATCTCTAAAGGTATAAACAGGGTTTCCACACCTTGGTCAACATCAAATTCAAGGACCTTTCAAGGACTTTCCAGTACCAATTTCCTCAAATTAAAGAACAACACGCAATGGCAATTACCTACTGCTACCACAGAATGTTACCAATAAACAGGTTTAATATTAGTGCTGGGAGGTATACCGTTTTGTACCGAAAACAGGTTTTTATTTTTGTTACGATATGACTTTTCTGAATACCGGTTTAAATAGCCTTAACACGTGCGGAAAGTTTCGTCGTGGCCGCCAGTGAACTGTTTCCCTGGGGACACGTTTCCTCGTAGCACCGCTAAGCGCATTAGCATGCTAACGTTATTGTTGGAACAACTGGCGGTGGGTGGTGTGTTTCAGCCACTTATGTGGTCTGACGTAAAAAAATAAATCCCGTTTTCACCATTGCTGAATAGTAAACAACTCTTCAGTGTCATGCACAGTTAGATTTAACGTGCTACGTTATAATGGAGACGTTTTTGCATGGAGACTCTAGCGTACTTCTATTGTGAAAAGCCCGGGGAAGTAGATTTGTAATGTAGCGAAGTTGACTGGTGTGCAAGGTGAGTCATCCTTTTAAGTTTTATTAACACGCAACGATATACCAGATAAAGATTTTTCTCAACCCTTCATGATCGAACCAAAATGCTTGATTACTGTCTACAACCAGGCAAAGACGAAAAGACGTACAAGAGGAGGGAAACAGTGATACAGAGGTACAGTAAAAGAAAAAAGTCAATAAGCAAAGTTTGTACATTTTATTAACAGCTGTGCTGTGAGGGAAAAAATACCGCCAAATACTGTGAAACCGGTGTAATTGTTGAAAATACCGTGATATAAAATTTGGGTCATACCGCCAAGCTCTATTTAATATCATGTAAATTCAATGAAAAACTGAACAACATAGAAGTCGTTGAGTCAGAAACAATGACGTCAGTTTACTGTTATCCTGAGTTATTCACATTGTTGTGTACATTTTATCATTTATTTTTTTAAAAGATGATGAAAATCAGTCGTGTCAATACAGAATTTCAAAACATCCAAGGACTTTCAAGGACAAGTGTAATTTTTGACTGTTTGCACAAACCTTCCAGGGCCTTGAAATATTTTTTTAATTCACAAACTTTCAAGGATTTCAAGGACCCGTGGGAACCTTGTATAAAATGCAGAAGTAGCAAAAGTATAGTCGGAATGTCCTGAAAGAACTGAACATTTTGATATATAAATTGTTGAAACRGCACAAAAATTGCAGAACAGGATACTTGCCAAAAAAAAACGTAAGGAAGAAACTTTTTTTTAATTATCTGGACTAATTGCCTTCAAAGACAGCTTCATATTATTGTTACTGAACCAGCTGTGGAACATCTGTCACAGCAGGACATTTTAGATGCAAACAAGATCCTATTTTTGCTCATTCTAACAGATGAAGAATTCTTTAATAAACGCTGCGACTCATTAGGATAAAAACATGAACACAAGGCAGACGAAACAAACACCCTTTTGGGATTTGTGTAGCGATATGTGACGAAAACGTCTGGTGGCRCAGAGACAGACAAATCAACCGACACGACACAGAAACATGAGTCACGACGGCGTTCAGGCCGTCATTTACACAGCAACACAGACATGACATTTAAACCCTGCTCACCTTTGTGTCCCATCATGACAGCCAGGTGCAGCGGTGTGTTTCCTGAAGAACAGAGGAAACTGGATGTTACGTTTGGCAAACAAAAAAAAACAAACAGCAGAGATAGAAGTCACTAAAATCCAAACCATATGCTAATAAATTGTGGATTCTCCCACYGTGACAATATAATCTCAATTTAACAGGCTGTGTAAAACCTGCGTGGCAAGAAATGTGCTCAGCAAAAAGTTCAAGTGGAAAAGTTTAAGTTGTGTGTCTTATAATRAAAACGTTTCAGGCTTTTCCTGCAGAAACTTTCCTTCACAGAAAGAAGGGATTCCTCCATTTCAAAGGTCCCTTCACCACAACGATAAATATATTTTTACTCATACCTGCCCTGTTCTCGCCATGAAGGTAATTCCAGTTTAAAACGTGCAACAAACGAGTTTTTAAACATTCATTTAAACACAAATGCTCGGCAAAATAAATTTTATTACAAGTGATAAGGTAACACACACACACACAAACACGTGTCAAACTCAAATTTGGTTAACATTTTATCCGGTTTAAAAGATAAAACGTTAAATGTGAAATAGTATTGTGGCTTTTTCTTCTCATGACAGCTGGCCAATGTTCACGCCAAGAAAATTACGTTTGGATTTTTCAGTAATCTTTGATTTTAGGGTGGAAAGAGCAACAGAGAATTTACTTTAATTATCTTTTTCTGTATTCTTTTAGCGTTTTGAAGTCAAATAATTGGATTTTTAGTGAACTTTCTTTTATTTCACCATACTTTCTGGATTGTGGTCAAAAGTATCTCTAAGATGTAATAAATGGGAAAAGTTGTTGATGGAGAGAAATGAATGCTAATGACATCTCTTCTATGT